CGGGGCTCTCCTTCCTCGCCCCTTCCTGCCTTCATTCCGTCCCCACCCACTGGCTTCCTTGCTGCAGCTGTTTTTGCTACCCGCATGGTATCGTGTCATTCCGTGGCAGGAAGTCATCTGGTGAGTCACCTTTTCAGCAAACGCTGTTGAGTGAGGTACCAGTATGCCCGGATACACGTCACCTTGGCCCAAGCAATTGCTCTGGTTACCCTCGAATGTGTATATGAATGTTTGTCTTTGTTGCGCAGTGGTGTCAAAGTGGTTTCAAAGTTCTGGTCTGCAAACTACACCCCTTGCCTTTTGTCTGTGTTTGCTCCAGACCTGGCCTCCTCGTGTATCGTCCCCTCCCGTGGCCTCACTTTCTCCCACCTGTGTGCCTTTCTAGCTGTCCCTGGAACCCTGACGCCCTCTGTCCTCTGTGGTATCTCAGATGTCCTCGAGAGCTTCCCCAGATGTTGGCACCTGACAGTCTCTGGCTGCTGTGGTCCCCCATGCCAGTGGCCTTGCATTTCCTACAGAACGCACAGGCCAGTGCTGTGAGCACTATGCTAGATGCACAAACCCTCTCCGGTGTCCCCAGGATGAGTGGGACCAGTACCTCCCTTGGGTAGTTAACTGTCCTCCACCCATGTCTTCTTCATAAAGATATTTATGGAAGAGCCCCTGTACCCACATAAGCCTGGCTGCAGTTGTCAAAACAAAGCATGGCTATACTGAGTCTTCCTTGCCTTGGGTCCTCAAGCCCGGGATGCCATAGACTTAGGGGATGCCAGCACTCTGCCGGTGTTTAAAATCATAACCCGTTTACTCCGCCTACCTACCTTCCATTCCCTCAGAAAGCCGATCCCCTGGCTCTCGTGCCTGTGACTAACCTGGGTGATTTCACAAAGTCCTCAGTCATGGATCTACGTGAGCTACTGTATCTAGATCCATTAGCGTAAAACATTCTGTTTTCCTGAGCCTCCCGTGTCTCGTGTGGCCCCAGCTGATTGATGTCCCCTACAAGAACACAGACCACCAGGAGAGCCACAAACTGGAGAATTTCAATAAAAGCACTGAAATGACTACCATAGAGAAGGAGACTGCATTCAGGTTGGGCTTGCTCCCGCATCCCCATTTGCTTGTGTTGCCAGCCGAGGGAATCCTCCAGGCAAAAGACACTGCAGGCCCTTACACAGGGCTGCTCACTCCACGGAGGGGTTAGGTGGATGGTCTTCAGGTAGGACTGAGAACCTGTCCCCCAGTTTGCAGGGTTGTGGGTCCCTGTGTATGGGGTATAGAGCTGTGCCCCTAGGTGGAAGCAATGCGTGGGTACAGAATTCACACACACAGGCCATCTCTTCACAAGGTGGTCTGTGATACTTAAATAAATAAAAAGAGTTCAGGCGAGACAGGCTGGCACCCACCCACTGGGCTCTGATCTCCAGAACACAGAGCTGTCGAGTCTCTAGACCCCAAGCTCTCTCAGACCCTGGGACGAGAGCCGT